GGGAGGGGGAGGAGCGCGGGGAACACATAGGGCCGACTGCGACAGCGGGGAGGGAAGGTGCGAAGTAGCCTAGTAGCCTACGGGGAGCGGGGGAACGGGAAGAAAGGGCTACGAGTCTTTTTCTCTTGGTGCTTTACATTTCCCTAACTGAGGAGAGGAAGGGTAGGGGGCAGCGCGAAAGGGTCAGAGAAAAGGCCTGTGGCTCGATTACAGGAAAAGCTACGGGAAACGCACAGCTCGAGTTCAGCTCCTCGCGGGAGGAGCAGGGACTCTGCTGTCAAACTTTGCAGCAATTATCCGAGGAACGCTTTTCCTAGGGTTGTCGATTCCTTCATGAGGGCTGCTTCCTTTGTTATGAAATCATTTTTCACCATCTGCCGTCTAAGAGGAAGTAGATTTTTGCATGAGTGGTGCCATTCCCTGCTTTTCCGTCTTAATTTTTAATACCTGTTTGGCGCTCTAGGAACAGTACCTTCTTGAAACAATGCGTAATGTGTTGGCTTTTACAAGTTTCATTTTACAAAATGGATTGCCATTTTAGTTTTATTTTTGTATTGTATTGTCCCTGATACATATACAATAATGCAATTTATGAATAAAATAAGACAATTAAAAAATTTTTATGGAGCAAATGTTTTAAAATAATCTTTCACAGTAAAAGAGAATTCAAAAGAAAAACTAGGCCCAGTCTTGTCTTGCTTTCTGTGTTTAGTTTATTTTTTTCTTTTCTTTTTTTGTTGGTTTGCTAAAGTCATTTAAAAATCAAAGTTTTGAACATGCCCAGATAAAAATGCAGTAGGAAAATAGTCATGGTCTCCAATGATAATTTCTCTGCAAGGATTCTTTGAGTCAGTCAACAAACATTTATTACAGGACTTCTGGGTCAACAAAGATGACAAGGGCATGGTCTTGATCCTCAAGATGCCTGCAAGGTAGCAGTCAAAAACAAACCAAAAATGAGGCTGGTAGTCTCAGCTGTAGATTTAAAGGGGCATGAGGGAAAGCTGACTTTAACATTTGAAACCACCACTCACATTACATTAAGAAGGGTCGTCATTTTGCTCTCTGAAGCTACTCCGTCTTCTGAAAAATCCATTTAGGCACCAGCTGGAAATCCTAAGGGAAAATCAAAGAATAATGTCTTCTATGTGCAGCATCTTCTGTGGGTTAGTAGTATCAAGATACAATACAGTATAAAGATCCCCAGATGATATAATCCAAGGGCATTTATAGGTCTCCAGGAACCTAGAAAGTTCCTGGAGTCAAGATGTAGCACTTCCTGCAAAAGTGAACAGTTTACAAAATGGACAGCATTTCAAATTACAAATTGTTTTGTATTTACGAACAGAATTACAAAATGTTTTTACAGTTGCAGCCTGGAAGCTATTGAGTTAAAGAAACTTTTAAGAAGAATCAACAAAATCCTATTACTCGTGTCCTATCATGTCCCCATCACACTCTGTTGTAACAGTGTATTTACATTTTCATTACTCACCCACCCTCTATCCCCAGCTGACGTTGTGAGATCAGAAACCATATCTGTCTCATTCACTATTACATCTCCGGTATCTAACACAATGCCTGTCACATTAGTAAGCGCTTAATAAATATTTGTCAAATAAATAAACAAATGAGTACATGAACAAATCCTAGACAGTCCCAGAATCTTACTATAACCAATTGCTAACAAGAAAAAAGAATTTCTTGACTTTTTGATGAAGATGACCGTTTTGCCATCTGACTGACCAGTGTTTTTATTGTTCCATTATAGCTTTACAACCAGGGTTTCTTTATTGTCCAGGTAATAATGATCAGTATAAAGGTTTTTTTCTTTCTTTACTTTTTTATACCGCTTCTCTGTCCATTTCAGAACTCATGTGAGGGTGATACAGCTAATGGCCATTATTCTTCTTACACTATAAAAGGTAACGGGTATACTGAGATTATATTTGCAGCAATGTCAAGTCTCACAAAAAGTAAAAAACTTTGATTAGATGAGTATTACTTCATTCTAAGGATAATACTATAGTTCATAGTTACTCAATAAATGTTAAATAATACTCATCAATCCAAGGCATGTTATGATTATGATACTTTGCCATCTCTATTCATGAGATGAGCTAATGTGTCTTTGGAATAATAGTACAGTACAAACAGATAATGTGTGAGCTAGTAAGAGATATATCTTACTACTCACCTAAGCTACTTAAGCTCCAGTTCCAGATATTTACTACTGAGTGACAATAAACACCAAAATCCAGGCTTAAAACAAAATGATTTGTTATTTTTCATGATTCTGCAGGTTGATTGAGTGGTTATTCTGTCAGTCTTGCCTGGACTTACTCAGGCAGCTGCCTTCAGCGGGCAGGTTGTCTGGGGGCTGGGCTCAGCTGAGACAGCTGGGATGGCCAGGCATCTCTCTCCATGTAGTCTTTCATTCCAGGCTTCTTCACATGCCTGGTAGTCTCAGAGCAGTATTCTAAGAGGGTCATTGTGGGAGCTATGGCATATCTTAAGATCTAGGCTCTGGATCTCAAATAATGTCATTCCATCACATTCTTCCACCTCCTGCAGTGTGCCTCCTGCCCAAAGAGAGTTGGGGGCCCAGAGACCGCTTTACACGATCAAAGGAAGTCACAAGGCCAGTAGAGGAAGAGAGTCCATCTCTTCATAGAAGGAGTGGCAGTGTCACATTGCAAAGGGGTGTGGGCCACTGGGAGGCATGATTCGTTGGAGGCCATTATGCGGCAATCTCCCATAGTCTGTCCTCTGGCCACAATGGCTTATATCCCTCTTATGCGCAGACTACACTTACCCCATTCCCAAGACCCCAAAGTCTCATTTAATCACCAAAGTCAGCTTTGTGTATCTTGTCATGTAAATCAAGTCCAGGTGCAGACAAAGCTCCTCAGGTATGATACCACAGGTTCAGCTCTTTGGGTACAGCACCTCTTGACCCAGATTGCTGTGAACTAAAAGACAAGTTATGTGTCCTCCTCATCTCTGCTCAACTGTTCCCCAACATTTAATGGTGAAACAGGAACAGGATAACAGCAATAAACACTCCAATTTCGTAAGGCAGGGTGTAGGGGGTGATGTGCATTCAGAATGGAAACACTGAACCACAGAATTCTGAAATCCAGTTGGGCATATGTCACCAGCTCCTTTGGCCCTAGAGCCAGGGAATTCTCCTTTATTGGGGCCCAGTTCTGCTCCTAGTGTTTCTTGGTTTCCCCACCTATTGGCCTCCTTGACTCTTGGCCCTGTCACTGAGTCCTTTCTTTTCCATTAGATATGGCTCCTGTTTGCAGCTGAGTAGTTTTCCCAGCCTGCCTCTTGTCCAAAGAAAGTTGGGGGTGCAGAGGCCTCCTTTCATTTTGATCTGTCTCTGTCTCTTTTAATCTAAATTGACACAACTCTCTTAAAAACTTTGTAGGCTTCTTGTGAATCTAACTGGGGTTTACCTTATGCCCTAGAAGACACAGACATAATTTTTTTTTTTTTGAGACAGGTTATCTTTCTATGTTGGGCCACATTTGAGGCCTTGTGGATTCTTAGAAGCCCCTGTGTCCGTCTAAGGAAGTCTCTAAGTCACTGCCTTGAATCTTTCAGAGGTCTTAAGGGGTTTTACAGCAATCCCCTTGATTTGAATTTTATCCTGAGGTCATTTCTAACATTAAAAATCTTTTGCTAGATGGAAGACTGTCCTAAGTCCTGTATATTTCCTCTAAATTCTGTTGTAAATTAAATGTTCCTTTTTTAGTTCATCTCTGTGGTTGGCAAAATAATGCTCCCTAAAAGATGGCCACACCCTAATCCCTGGAATCTGTGAATATTTCAGCTTACATTGCAAAAGGGACTTGGCAGATGTGATTAAGGGATGTTATAGACCTTGAGATGAGGAGATTATCCTGGATTATCCAGGTGGGCCAAACCTAATCACATCTTTAAAAGCTGAAAACCTTCCTGGCTGTGGTTAGAGATATTCACAGAAGAAGAAGGAGGAGAGATTCAAAGTGTGAAAAGGACTCAACCCACCATTGCTGGCTTTGAAGATGGAGGAAGGGGACAAAGAAGTATGAGTGGACTCTAGAGCTGGGGGTGACCCTCAGCTGACAGTAGGAAGGAAGGGGAATTTCAGTCCTACAACCACAAAGAACTGGATTCTACAAACAACTTGAATGAGTAAGGAAATAGATTTTCCCCTAGAGCCTCTGGGCGGGAACACAGCCCTCCTGACACCTTGATTCTGACCTGGTAAGAGCTGTGTTGGATTTCTGATCTACAGAACTGTTAAAATAAAGTAAAATGGAGACCAGGCTTGAGCATCTCCCAAGGAGACAAAACCATTTAAGCCAAATAGGCAAAATAAATATAGCTTATTTCATGAACATAAACAAAATTTAACTTAGGTTATTTGTTGTAAATGCCTCTGATAATCATAAAAGAAACTTCAGTCATCTTCCTAAAATGGTATAAGATAATCACTTTTAACCAATTCCAGCAGGGAATTAACTCCCAACTGGGAAACCCCCACTATAATAACCAATCATTGTAAAAGTTAAACCACTTCCTCATTTCCACTTTATAATCCATGCTGTGATGTCAGACCTCTGAGCTTCTCAATGGTGGATTTGAAGACTCCCAGTTCTCAAATTGTTCTTTTGTG